CTGTTGACCATATCCTTGTTGTGGATATTGTTGAGAATATTGTTGAGGATATCCTTGTTGTTGAGGGTAACCTTGTTGTTGCATTTGTTGAGGATATCCTTGTTGTTGTGGATATTGTTGCATTCCTTGTTGAGGGTAACCTTGTTGTGGATATTGTTGAGCATAACCTTGTTGTTGTGGATTTCCCTGTTGATAGCCAGGATAACTAACACCAACTCCAGCATTTATCAATGGAACAGTTGTTTGACCTCCTTGTTGAGTAGCTTGACCATATTGACCTTTAATTTGGGTCATGTATTGAGTAAGGGTCGAAATAGATTGTTGCAAGCTGCTCCAATTAGCTTGTTGAGTAGATGTAACCATACTAGCAACGAGAGGTGTAATTTTATCCTTAATGAGGGCTGCATCATCTTGATCCAACAATGAAGGATCTGCTGCCAACAATTTGAGATTAGTATCAATGGTATTTACAGCATTACTAACAAGGGCACAAGGGGAAATTGTTGACTGAGAAACAGGTTGTTGGCTTACTCCTTGTTGAGTATTTGGTTGCATGCCACCTTGTTGTTGAGGATAACCTTGTTGCATTTGTTGAGGATAACCTGTTGTTGCATATTAGGCTGCATTTGTTGCATTCCTTGTTGAGGACTTTGTTGCTTTACTCCTCTGGTAATTCTAGTTTGTCCAATTGGAGTTGGAGGAGCTTGACCTTGTGGAGCAGGTTGATTTGGATTGGAACTCATTTGAATAGTTGGCTGTTGTTGGGATTGTTGAGATTGTTGAGAGAAACAATATTGACCCAATCTATTAATCATGGAAATTTGAGTATTAATATTGTTAACATAGACACCAAGCTTGTTACTACTGGATTGCTGTGGTTGTTGGGATTGTTGGGATTGTTGAGATTGTTGAGGTTGTTGTGGTTGTTGCGGTTGCTGAGGTGGCTGAGGTTGCTGAGATTGCGACGGTTGAGTAGCTGCTTGTGCATTTGCTGAGGCAGATGCATCCTGAGCATTCACAACACTCAAGGCAACTAGACATAACACGAGGGATAAGCCCAATATATACTTTGGAGTGATCATTTTGTTTTTTCAAATCATGGCGACTTCCATAAGCACATCTTGTTAATTTATATGGATTATGAAAATGGGTAATGAACTTTTATGGAAATAATCACGAAAAGATAACATTTCTCAACATGGAACACTATCATGTATGTTCATTATCGTTATTTAGCTTCACTACTTTGTTACTGCCGAATCGGTATTCATATTGAGAACTTTCCTGTAGTACAAAATTTGATAGAGTCCTCTTGTTCTGTACATTAAAATTATTCCACCAACAGCACCAAAACCACACAAGGTTGTGGTCAAGTAGAATGTTGTCTGATAGCACAGGGTACCGTAACATATCTTGGACATGTTATCTGTTGGAATATTACTTTCGTAGATTTTACCTGCCAATAAGGTAGCAAGTAGGAAACTTCCCAAACTCGATGCTAAACTACAAATGGACGAATTGACTGCAAAATATTTTGGACCGAATCTTTCACTCAAGAAACTAGGAACCATAACTGCAACTCCTCCAAAACTAACTCCCAACAATATTAAAATGAAATAGTAAACCCAAAGAGGTGAAACTAGAACAATCATTTGACAAATCAACATGAGCAATACTCCACCAGTAAGGAAGGTCGTTCTGGTAATGTATCTACTCAATGTATCACTCATTAATCCAAACATCAATCGTCCTAAAGCATTAGAACATGCAAAAATCATAACCATCAAATGTTGTTGACCATCGTATCCACCAAATGAAATGACAATTGAGCCCAAATTATTGACAATAACTAATCCAGAACCCATCGTTGCAAAGTACACATAAAACACCAAATAAAAATCGAGAGTGAAAAGCATTTGCAATGGATTGGCATCTGGAATTGGAGTTTTGGCAATTTTCCAAATCTTGTCGTATTTGCCTGCTATTTCCTGATCTGTTTCGATTGGACCTTTATCTAAATCGTCCTCAATTTCTTCAATTTCATCGACTTGCTCTTGCATTGCTTCTCCTCGTTCTTCCAAAATTAATTGTTGACTCAAATCAAATCCTTCCAAATCTTCTTCCTTATCTTCTATTTCAGAGTTGTCTTCAATCTTTCCAATTGGATTTTCCAATTTGATATTATCTGTGGTTTCCTCCTTTTTTACATTTGAATCTTGCTTAGTTGGTACTGTTTCAGTCTTATCCTGCTGGCTTCCAACCATTAGAAAATCATTGAATTGATCTTGATCCTCTTCCAAATCTTCATCATGGACGAAACTATTCACATCTTCTTCATCCTGAGCCACTTGAACATAGCCACCATTATTTGGCGATTTAGTTGAATCATTTGGCTGTATTCCAATCTGATTCATGAAGAAAGTTCCAATCACAGTTGCAACTCCACCAAAAACTCCTACAAAAAGCAAGTAATCTCCCAACTTTCTCTCAAATCCAACACTGTAAATGAAACTAAACACTGCACTACTGAGAGCGACACAACTTCCCATAAAACCAATGATTTTTCCTCTATGTCTAGGTTCAAAATTTTTAATATTGGTCGTAATGGCTGCTGCATAGGCACCTAATTTACAAAAATTGAAATTATTGTAAAATGTTTACAATAAAATTTCAAACAAAAACCTACCTGCAGATCCCTGACCCATAACTGCCATAAAACATGCAATGAAAATATAAGCATCAGTTCCAACCATGTCAATTGCCTTAATATACACCAAATAAAACATAAAATATCCACAAAATAACAAAACTCCAGAAATGACACACGTAATTCTCGATCCCACAAAATCATTCAACATTGAAACAGGTAATGCAAAATAAGTTCCAACATTTGCAGCTGTTCCAATTAAATTAACTTGAGTTTGTGAAAAATTCAAATCATTCTTAATGGTTGGTGAGATGGAAGAGTAGGCATAGTGAGTTCCACTTAGAAATGTTAGTAATGCACCGAATAGGAATGAAATCCATCGATTTCCAAATAAGATGAAATGTAAATTGGTTAAAAAAGTGGAAAATTTGGATTTTTGTGGAGGTGAAACATTATTAGAATCATTTGGATTGGAAGATGATGGTATAGAAGTGTTATCTTGTTGGTCATTATGTATTGATGGGTCAAAATTGTTTCTTGAACGTATTTCTTGATTTATATGATCAGAAATATTATTCGAATCTTGTTGAAAGCTATCGGAATGGTTATCTAGTACTTCCTCTGATATATGTGCATCTGCATCACCTTCCTCTCCTTGTTTATGTCCTCGAATAATTATTTTCACAGAAGGCAATGGTTGTTGAGCATTGTTGTCATCTCTCGACGTGTCATTGGAAATTATCGATGAAGAAGAAGAATTAAATTCTTGTTGATTTTCAGTGGAAGAAGACGTTGTTTCCTGTTGAGCAACGGATGGTTGACCCTGTTGTGTGTTGGTGCTATCGAGATTATCATCCATATCTTTGATTATGATATTTTTTTTAAAATGGTGACAGAATTTAATCGGAGTTCTTTAATGGTATCGGAAACGGAAGTGTTTATTTGAAAATTGTAACTGATCTGATTACATTCTT